GTTGTGTAAGTTATATGGTTTTTTTTTTTTTTTTTTTTTTGAGACAGAGTCTTGCTCTGTCGCCGGGCTGAAGTGCAGTGACACGATCTCGGCTCACTGCAACCTCCACCTCCTGGGTTCAAGCAATTCTCGTGTGTCAGCCTCCCAAGTAGCTGGGATTACAGGCACACGACACTACACCCAGCTAATTTTTTTGTATTTTTAGTAGAGATGAGTTTCACCATGTTGGCCAGGATGTTCTGGATCTCCTGACCTCGTGATCTGCCGGCCTCTGCCTCCCAAAGTGCTGGGATTACAGGCGTGAGCCACCGCACCTGGCGTTAAGTTATATCTTAATAAACTGTTGCAAAAACAAACAAACAAAAAACCAACCAGCTTCTGAAACACTACTAAACTATGATAGAAACAGCTTCGGCCCATTGGACAGCAGGTTACCATGGGGTCAGATGTTACTCTGATGGCTATCAAGTAATAAGGTCAAATGAGCTCAGTAGCAATCCATAGCACCAAATATGGGCTGTACGGTATGTCCTAACTCTCATTCAGGCTAATCTAGCTACTGTTACAGCTGAATGTCTGACCTGCCAGCAACAGTGACCAAGGCTGACCCTCCAAACCATCCCATCCCTCAAGGAGACCACTTGGCCTCTTGGTGGCAGGTTGAGGATCTGTTTTGCACTCCAGTGATCACCTGGAATAGCTCCTGGTACTCCCGTGTCCAGTTTTAACTAAATGGGTATGCACAGAAACCATAAGCTGATAAATCATGCTAAACTGGGCTTATGCTCCTCAGAGATGATGATCTGAGTCAACACACCGGACAATCCACCTAAGCCAGCAAATGTGCTCGCTGAGGGGAAGAGGATCTAGAATTGGTGAAGAAGCAGTGAAATGATGCATATAAGTTACTGAAGGGTTTCCCAATTTCAGCACTGTTGACCTTTGCGCTGAATAATTATTTGCTGTGAGGGCTGTCTTGTGCATTGCAGGACATAATGCCTGTAGCAACCTCCAGATATGGCAAACAAAAATTTCTCCAGACATTGGCAAATATCCCTTAAGGAGCAAAATCTTCCGTGATTAAAAACCACTGAGTTACAACCTCAGGAACAATGCAGTAGCAAGGGTTTCAGTTTGTCTGAGTAACCCTCTTCTCTTTTAAGTTTTCCCAAAATGTGTGACCAATCAAAATACTGGAGAAGTTGCACCAGGGTGGATGAACTTGGAGTGAGAAGCAAGTGGATCTGAATAATGCCAAGGATGGACTCTAGTGGGCACTGTTGGTGTCACATCTAGACCAGCTGACTAACAGGTGCACATCCCCTCTCGCCACCCAACGCCCACCCACTCCCATGCTACTAGTTTTGTATGATAGCAACTCAAAGCTGCAACCTTCTCTTGAGAATTGACCTCTGCCAAAAATGGGACCTCCCATGCTGGAGAGGACATTTCTGCACACTCCTGCCTCCCTTTAAATGGGACTGATGCTAATGCAATTTGAGCTGCAGAGCTTCCCCAGGAAATCAAACTGAAGCTAGTTTCCAGGCAAAACTCTGTGAGCTTATTTCCTCTGCCCACTCGCCTACATCCCTCTCTCCTCCTAAAAGTATTTAACCATGAACCTCTTGACCACTAATCTTCATCTTAGGCTCTGCTTCCTAGGACAAAAACAAGCACTTATTTAATGTCTATTATACTCAAGCACTTAACTGAGATTTTTTCTTACTTGATCTCATTTAATCCTCTGGGTAAGAGGTAGATGTTATTAATCCAGATTTATCCTGTTTTGCAAATGAGGAAAGAGCCTCTAAGAAGTGAGAGGTGTCCAAAGTTTCACCCAAAAGTTGCAGAGCCATCACTGGAATCCAGTTTTCATGACGTCTTACCAATATGCTAGCATCTCTTTTCAGTTGAAAGGTACTGAAGATTATATTTATAGTCCTTCTTAGAGGGACTGCTCCTGTTCTTGCCAGAGGATTTCCACAGTGTGTAAAAGATTGTTGCTTTCCATTTTATGGCTCAGTTCACACAAGTTTAGTGTTGGAGACCTTCATTAAATGTTGAGAGCTCCATTTCTTAGTATCAAATGATATGTCCTCAGGCAAGAGAGTATTTCTCAATTCCTATAAGAGCTCATATGCTCTCTGGTTATCAAGTGAGGAAGGGGAGTTTGACATTCAGTATTAGCTTCTATTTTTAAGGAACATGGGGAGGATAATATGTGAAATTGCTCTCAAATGACTCTTACAATCGAAAATAAAAATAAATAAATGATCATAAATTGTGTCAACATCTGATATTACAATCTCTTTTACTTAATTATGTAAATAAGAACTTGAAAACACTATGCATTGTGCATAAATCCTCTGGCAGTTGAGTGAGAGTCAGGTGAATTATAAACTTGAAAACATAAGTTCTATGAGATTATCTCTAGGCTATTTAGGTGTTTTGGTGTTGATGAATATAGTTATTTTAGGTAAAAAGTAATGTAACACACTTTTGCTTTAGTGAGAATGTGTGTCTTACTGTACATTTAAAGCAAAGACAAGCTAGTAAACATTATCATACTACTTTGGGGGTAGCTTTGCATTTTGATTGAAATGCCACCAAGAGATACAGTTTCTTCAAGTAGAAGGATATTTTGTTATTGGTGGCAGAGTTCTGGATTATTTTTAACTCATTTCTGATGTGGTGACTATTTTTAGCATTAGATGCGATATAATTGGTACAGTATTATAGAGCAGAAAATCAAGGTCAGTTCAGATTTTCCCCAATTCTAAGACCAATTTGTTTTGAGGAAAATGTTTTTTTTTTTTTTTTAGGAGTAGCAATTTTTCAGATTTTCACATATTTTCTTACTAGATAATAGGTACCTTTTCCATGGGCCACAGTACAGGCCTATGAGACCAAACATTGATGTAATATATATGATATGGTTTGACTGTGTCTCTACCCAAACCTCATCTTGAATTGTAGCTCCCACAATTCCCACGTGTCATGGGAGGGACCCAGTGGGAGATAACTGAATCATGGGGGTGGGTCTTTCCTGTGCTGTTCTCGTGAGAGTGAATAAGTCCCACGAGATCTGATGGTTTTATAAGGGGGAGTTTCCCTGAACAAATTCTCTCTCTTGCCTGCCACCAATGTAAGACACGCCTTTCACCTTCCACCATGATTGTGAGGTCTCCCCAGCCATGTGGAACTATGAGTCCATTAAACTTCTTTTTCTTTATAAATTACCCAGTCTTGGATATGTCTTTATCAGCAGTGTAAAAAATGGACTAATACAATATATAATCACAATAGTGGAGGGAAAGGATTAATTTTAGGTAAAAAATAATTTTTAAACAGCCAATTTCTACTTGGCTGGAGGTTTCCCAATGTCCTTCCTCCTCTTTCCTTCCTCCTCCCAGTTTAACCACACATACTTCAGAGTTACTGCTACCAGACATCACAATGCTCAGTTAGTGTCTTCCTATCCTCACTGGCTACAAGAATTTCCAAACCCTCATCCATGAAAAATAAAAACCCCATCAACAGCCAACGAGACTTGAAAATATGAAAGGGCGACCTGTACTCCTTCCAGAATTCCTGATAATTTGAACAAAAAAGCAAAGAAATAATTTAGATCTGTAAACAATTAGAAACTTTTATATTAATGCATTTTAAGGTATGGTTGTATGTAGAAAATGGAGGATGATAGAGTGGGAAAGAAAATACACAAAACTAGTTTAACTTGAGCAAGGTGGTCTAGGAGACTAGACACCTCGTCAAAACCACCTATGCCAAATTATTTCTCCTCATAATGTCTGACATTTTTACCAGCACCTCCCTTTTCCCAATGCCTGAACCTGAAACTGCATTAGTTAATTGGCACCAAGAGTATCTCAAAAAAATTTTGAGACTATTTTTGATATCTTAAATCGTGGCTCTGTAATTTACTAACTATATTCTTTGAGCAGTCTTTAAAGAATTTGCACTCCAATGTTCTTCTCCATAAAATAGTTTTTTGTAGAGATGTGAGATAATAGAACTAGTAAGCCTAACACAGTTCCAGACAAATTGTAGTTTCAACGAGTTTTGTCTGCCTGAAGTGCGTGTTTGCTTTAAATCATTCACACCTTATTGTGAATTAATTTAATCAGAATGCTTTCTTCTCTAATGTATATCTTTCCTGAATAAATAAGAGTTTGGGTGCATGAGGGGAAAGCTTAATGTGCCCAGGACAGCAAGGTATCAATATCAGTATTTATGCCTGAAGGGTAGAGGAGAGTTGCCCATAGAGATAGGGAGGTAGGCAGAATGGAGTTACAGGGCAGCAATGGGGAATTACACTATTTTTGACTTTGAGACTAGAAAGGGAGAGCAAATACATTCCTTCTATTCTCTCCCCACTTAAAATCCTCCTGCAACCGGAATCTAATATTTGGACATCTCATTGGTATAATTCTTCAGATACATTATGAATTACACAACTTTTTCTGAGTAATTTGGTAATGACTTATCTGAAATGTTCTTTTGATAGAAAACAAAAGCATTCTTTCTTACAAATATCTGTTTCCCTAATGAAATTTTGATGCACAACCTGTTTGTAATTGGAGACTGTAATTAAACTAGCACCCGATTAATATCTGTAATCTCTAATGCTGATCCCATTTGGTGATATTCTCTGCCATGCACATTAATAGATTAGTTCTACTTTGAAAGAGTGCATACCTTCCATTGATCACTTTTGAGATTAGTTTTGACTTAGATTCACTAGAACTCATTTCTAAACCATGAAGATACTTGGTTACACTCAAGATATTTGGTTAGCTCAAGAACAGCTTCCTTCTGTTTTTGAAATTATTGACTCTGCCTTCAGAATCTGAGTGCTAGAAAGAGTGGTCCATATATGACCACCAACATGTCTTCAGGAATACTCAAGAAAATTAAAACACACACATTCACCACTCCTCATTTTTTCTCAGGCCAAAACTGAAGAAAAAGGAGTAAGCAGATTCCATGTCTTTATAACTGCTTTATTTCTGGGGAGAAACTTTACTCCTTACATCGTTCCGCCAACATGTTGAGAATAAGAGTTCAATATTTAAGGTCCACTGTCCATCCTCTCCATCACACATTATCATATGATAGGGTGTTATATGAAATCATCAGTATCTGACAACTCATTTCAATTTAGAGATGTCTTCTTTGAAATTCCTCCCTGCGTAAGGTTTTCCTCTTTGCTCCTTCTTTGTTTCTGTCAAGAATCCATTTATATGAAGAATATTTGGCAGTGTTCATGTAATGTTGCAAATTCATTTGGCAGTGGCACAAATTTCATGGAAAAACTGCTGGAAAAACAAGCAAAGTGCAATCATTTAGTGTCATTGCAGTGATAAGATCCATGGAGTGTAAAAAGGAAAAATAATCATTGCACCAAGCTCATCAGAACACTTAGTGAGACTCCCTGAGACTCTGCAGAGCAAGAGTACAATGATGGTCATAGTCATGGTCAATGGAAACATTCTCTTCCCCTGGGAATGACCGAACATGACATAAATTGGACATGCTATTTTTTCAAATATAAAATAAACTTGAAGAAAATTGGGTATTTTCTTTGTTTTCTTAAGCACTAAAAACTGTGCAAAATAGGAATATCAGAGATTGGTATAGCAATTCTGATTTTTGAAAGGATTTTTAAAAGGATAGTCCATGGAATATACTAAATAGAAAATGATACTGATGATATGAATTTATTTTTATTTTCCACAATAAACTATTTTAAACAGGATGCCTAGCAGCTTGGCATGCTGCCAATATTTGACAAAGTGACAAATCAAATGGCACTAATAGGTAGAAATCTCGAATCTTATACTAGAGGAAAATAGCTCTGAAAAAAAAAGTCCCTGTAAGTGAAAAAAGGGGAACATAAACAAAAAATAAAGGAATCCTTAGAAAAACAAGTACTGGAAAATATAGGTATAAATCTTGCCAAAGCCCAAAGCAAACAGCCTCAATCTGAAAAAATAGCAGTTCAACACTTTAGAGCAGCATCAACAGGAAAAAGTCTGGTGTGGACCACATTATTAACACTCAGATTCTAGTCTGTTACCTCTTAGTTCTGCTTTGGTCCCCAACAAAACAGTTCTATTTGTTCATTCATTCATTTATTCAGTTGCCGTCTGTTTATATATCAGGCATTGTGTTAGGCACCAAGAATGCTGTTGTAAATAAGAAAAAATACAACAGTGAAAGAGACAAATAGGGAGATGCAAGACTAGTCGCTCAAGCTACACTGGGAATAAATATATGATGCTATGGTAGATCATAGAAGGAGTATAAACTCTAGGCTTGGGCTGTCAGAATGCTTTTTTAAAGAAAAATCAGAAAGAATAGTCCAAGTATATAAAAACACATGTGTAAAGGTCCAAAGGATGGAGACAGAGGTAGAGATAGAGAGAGAGAGAGTTGGAGAGAGAGAGAGATGAAAGAAGTATATAATGGCCAGAGTTTTACATTTCATAATAGTCACAGAAAAGGCAATAGAAGCAAGCAGTGACAGGATAGTTTGGAATACTTTAATTGTAAATCTCAGAAACCAATTTCAACCAACTTAAACAAGAAAGGAAAAAGAGGAATTATTGGAAGTATGTTGGTATATCTCATGCATAAATTGTACAATCATACTATGGGAAAAGAAGGAATATACCTGGGTCTCAAACAACTAAAAGGAGAACTAAATATCATCAAAACTATCTTTTGCTCTCATCACTGCTTTTGCTGTCTGTTGGCTTCATTATTCTCATGGCTTTGGCCCAGTCACAGAAAACAGGCACCAATAGCTCTTGAGTTTTATATCTAGGATTCAACCTTTAGAGAATGAAATAGATTATCTTTCTTAGTTTCAGCTTCAGAAATTTGAGGAAAGGGCTGGGCGCGGTGGCTCACACCTGTAATCCCAGCACTTTGGGAGGCTGAGGTGCGCAGATCACGAGGTCAAGAGATCAAGACCAGCCTGGCCGACATAGTGAAACCCCATCTCTACTAAAAATACAAAAATCACCTGGGCGTGGTGGCTCATGCCTGTAATCCCAGGTCCTTGGGAGGCTGAGGAGGAGAACTGCTTGAACCGGGAGGCTGAGGTTGCAGCGAGCCAAAATCCTGCCACTGCATTCCAGCCTGGGTGACAGAGTGAGACTCCATCTCAAAAAAAAGAAAAAAGAAAAGAAAAGAAATTTGAGGAAAATATGCTAATACAATTATTATTTTTCTTCTTTAGTTCACTCTTCTATGTGCCAGGCATTATTTGGTGTGCTGGGTACATGTGATGAACAAGACAGGTAAACCCACGCTCTCACAGAGTCCACATTTTAATAGGATAAAAGAGGCAGTAAACAAGCAAACAAATGAATGCATGAACAACACAATTGTACTTAGTGCTAAGTGTCAATAAAGAAATAAAACAGAAAGGTGATAAAATGATTGCGTGGATAAGAGAGAGGAAATTTGATGGGTATCACCAAGGAGGTGATATTTGAAATGAACTCCAGTCAGCTTGAGATAATATCGAGGGGCAGTGAGTTTTAGGGAAAGGAAGCAGCAAATGTTGAACTCCAAAAGAGAAAACAGATTTCACTTGTTCAAGAAACAAAAAGAAGGTCAGTTAAGTCCAGTGAATGAAGAGAAGGGTGATAGAATATTGGGCTGAGACAAAATCAGGAGCCAGAAGATGTACGATGTATGAGCCTTATAAAATCAATTTTATTCTAAGTGAACTAGAAAATCATAATTGGTGACAGGATGGGGAGAAAGAGTCAAAGCAGGGATATCAATTATAAAGCTCTGGCAGTGATTTCGGCAAAAGACATCGGGTGACTTGGACTATAATAACAGCAGTGGAGGTGGGGAGAAGTGGGACGGATTTGCAAAATATTTGGGGGATAAGACCAAAAGAGCTTGGTGATGGATTGGATGTAAGAAAGTAAAGACGAGAGAAAATTCCCAGGGTTGAAGCTTAAGTAAGCAACTGGATGGTTAATGAGACCATTTACTAAGATGGAAAACTCCAGAAGAACAGGGTAATGTTTAGAGAGTGGGCTGCATGAGCCGGCGTGAAGAGGCAGGAATTATTCTTGGCTATGTTAGGTTAGGTTGTAATACCCATTACACATTCAAGACAGTTATTAAAGATTCAGATAGATACACCCCTGGGAAATAACACCTGTAAACATTCACATTTTCCTACTCTTCTTATGTCTCAATGGATAGTAACTATATCAATTGGGGTAAAGCGGGGCAACGATTTTCAGAAGAAGGATAGGAAGATGGCAGATAAACATGCCAAGTACAAATGTATACACACACACATGCGCGCGCACATGCACACATATTGTGGCTCCATAACTATCTGTATCTATGCATCTGTATATAAATTCAGTTTGGGCCATGGCAGGAAAATAGCTCACGGTGGAAGCAAAAGGAGAGGCTGCACACACTAGAGTAAGGGAAGAGTGTGACTGGGTCACGCTACATGCCCCTTCTAATAGCATTGGAGTCAGCGATTCACCCTTAACTCAGAAGCTGTCAGCAGTAATGCGGGGAAGGGTTAGATGAAATAAATATGTATTGAACACATACTATGAGCTCAGTTGGATGCATACCCTTACCCACACAACTACAGGTAACTGAGTTTAAAAGTTCAGTCTTTCATTGAACTTTTAAAATATATCCTCTCATCCAAAACAAAAAACAAAAAACAAAAAAACTTGCCAAAAAAGATGGTTACCATTTTAAATCCTGAGGACTTGTCAGGAATGTCCTACACAGTCAACTCTTTCTGCCTCATCCACCAAGGACATTCATCATTCTGACCAGAGGTCTCTGTCATTCAGAACATCCCTGCAGGAGGTTGTCAACTTTTAAAAATGGTGCCCTAAATAGAAGGGGGGAAAGTAGCTAATGTGCTTGTTTTCATGGATTAGAGTTCATGGAAAAACTCTGGACTCCTCCCCAAACATCACTGAGAACTGGTGTGACATGCAATTCATCCTGGCTCCTGTTATTTTCAAAAACATTGCTCTTCCTTAGAAATCTCTTTAATGAATGCTTGCTCCCTGGGCTGATTATCCTCTCCCCTGGCAATCCTTTTTGCATTTGTGTAATTTAGTTAAAGGACATATGTTAACTATCTACATTTGTGCTTAATACATAATAGATGTTCAGCTGACAGTAGCAAATTGGGAAACTTGTGTGGTTAGTGTCATTTTCTTAGATTTTAAAATGTGAGTTTTATAAAAACTGATTCCCCAATTACATATCATATGCTCTATGCTATGTCATAACTGTTGGCAATTTATCCTTTCTGCCTATTTTGTTAATCATTTTTTCCAAAGCTTTCCTGAAACAACCCATGGTGGTAAGCCACATACATCTATTTTGCAGACATTAATCCCCACTGCCTCGTTCAATACCATACCAGAGATGGTGCTGAAATTATCTTTTTACCTGAAAGGAGCCAGGAAAAAATTAGTTATTTCCTTTTAAAATTTTGTAAGAAGTGGCCAGGCATGGTGGCTCACGCCTATAATCCCAGCACTTTGGGAGGCTGAGGCAGGCGGATTGTGAGGTCAGGAGTTCAAGACCAGCCTAACCAACATGGTGAAACCCCGTCTCTACTAAAAATACAAAAATAAGCTGGGCATGGTGTCACGTGCCTATAATCCCAGCTACTGAGGAGGCTGAGGCAGGAGAATTGCTTGAACCCAGGAGGTGGATGTTGCAGTGAGCCAAGATCATGCATCTGCACTCCATCCTGGGTGACAGAGCAAGACTCTGTCTCAAAAAAAAAAAAAAAAAAAAAAAAAAATTGTAAGAAGTATTTTTTTCTTATAGTAAGGATATGATTTCTAGTAATATTTTGGAATAGAATTCTGTCTTTTCCATTTACAGGAGCTTTTATCAGTCCACCATAAGAAAGCAGTAAAACCTGGAGTCCACTGCATATCAGTCCTCTTCTTTTTGAGGCGTGGAGCCCAGTTCTCCTGGCCCCTACCCTTAAGAGTGAGCAAACTCATCAAAGCGCCACAGGACATAGCATAGCCTGTCTTTTGACAGATGGGTGCCTGAGAAAGTTGTACTTTTAAAGCTGTATTTACATTACAAAGCCATAACTTGTATTTTGACAGCCAGGGTTTGTAGCAGTTCACTTTAGTTGTCACATTAGGAGTTCATTTTTGACCCGACAGTCTGTGCCAATATTTGCTTGTGTCAAGTTTGACTTGTCAAAGTGGAAACTATATCAAAACTCCATAACACAAGTGACAGCAATTAACCCAACTAAAAAAATAATTTCAACTTGTAATGCATTTTGCTCATATAAATGTGTATAAATAAAATATCCTTTGAAAAAATAGTCAGACAATAATGCATAAAATGGGATTTAGCAAGATTCAGGCATAGAAAGGATGAACTGGGTATATTATGTATGTATTTCCAAAATAAGAATTCCTTGAATAAATTAAATGGCTAGCTGATTGAAGGATATTTTAAAGAATTTTGCTACTTGGATTTGTGCACATTTATAATAATAAACACATTTAATTTGTGTGAATTCCATGCATCTAGACTTATGGCAAATCTATATCAAAAGTTTGCATTCCACCACAACAAACAAACAACTGAGAAATCTACAGGCATAGTTGCAGATATGTTTTAAGGAAGCAGTAATAAGATATTTAACTTTTCACTTTAATACACAAGTTATTATTTCGTGACCCATCTATAAATTTGTCAGTGATATGGTTTGGTTTTGTGTCCCTACCCAAATCTCACCTTGAATTCCACATCTCAAGGGCAGGACCAGGTGCAGGTAATTGGATCATGGGGGCGGTTTCCCCCCATGCTGTTCCCATGACAGTGAGTGAGTTATCACAAGACCTGATGCTTTTATAAGGGGCTTCCCCCTTCACTCAGCACTCATTCTCTCTCCTGCTGCCCTGTGAAGAGATGCCTTCCACCATGATTGTAAGTTTCCTAAGGCCTCCCCAGGCATTCAGAACTGTGAGTCAATTAAAGCTCTTTTCTATATAAATTACCCAGTCTCAGGTATTTCTTCATAGCAGTGTGAGAACAGACTAATATAGTCAGCCTGTAAACTCCAGGAAAAATTTCATTCTGCAGCATTTGAATTAGGTACTTCTGCTGATAAGTGGCTTCTCTTACAGGGAATGAAAATGAAATGAGCTTTAGAACCAACCATGATTCATAACCATGATTTGCTCACAGATAAGCAAAAACAACCAAGTTGCTTTTATAATTAGGCCACTAGGTAAGACAGTATTTGAGGATTAAGACTGAAAGCTCATAGAAGGAGCCAGGTCTCCTTCCTTTAGAGAATGAATTTGAATGAGTAGTTAATAAATAAATAAATGCTACGTAGAGGTGCTGTTTTTCTTGTTTTTGTTTTCTCTAGATAGCTTTCATTCTTAGATGAGCATGGATAACAATAACTTCGTAAATTTTCCTTGACCAACCATTACAGTTCTTCACCAAGGACGCAAAGAGGAAAATTAACTCAAAGAATGTTAATTAAATTTGGTCATTCAGAATTTATGCATCAAAAACAGACAATCAATATGCCAAAAAACAGGAATGGAATCACAAATTATAGGAGTGCAGCAATTGAGAATTGACATAACTGTGAGAGAGGCTAATTATCAGCAGAAGCAGCTAATTCAAATACTGCAGAATGACACTTTTCCTGTAGTTTATAGACTGGCACATTTATGTTACAAGTCACCAAAAAATAACATGTTTATTAAAGTAAAAAGTTAAATATATTATTACAGATTCTTCAGTATAATGGTTTGGTAACTATGGCTTACATATTTA